CTTTTCTAAATGTAATTGTTCATCAATTTACAAGTGATTTTTTTTTTTTTCTTTCCCACACTAGGAGCAGATCATGGCCTTTGCCAGTGAGTGATGTCCTTGTCAGTCTGGATCTGCAGCTCACCCATGACAGTTCTAAATCCAAGAACTTTATCCCCTGAGGTCTGGTGTTTGGTTTAGAAGCAAATAAAAATAGCATATTTGAAGAGTAACAATAAAAACTAAAAGCGAGAGCCTTCCTACCCATACGTGCTTGGTTCTGCACAAGCTCTGTTTTGTCTACTGCTTGGAGGATGGGTTTGCAAATTCTCTTTGCCATGTGCTTTCACATAGAACTGGCTCTTTAAGACTAAAGCTGAATGGTAGCAGCTGTGTTCTGCATACCTGTAATGTTTATCAGTGCTGAAAGGGACCCTCCCAACCAGGAGTGCCACCCCCTTGCTGCTGCCCACCAACACGTACCATCTGGGCTCTTGAGTTTCTGGTATGAAGCAGGGGGCTGAACCCAGAACTGAGGGGCAGTTTGTAGCAGGAGCATCCAGTTCTGCTAATGGCTAGCTCCACAATCCCCAACCTCTTCCCACCAATACATCCTCATAGGTCCCTCTCAGAAAACTAGCTAGGCTTGAGGGTCTTGGTCCCATTCTGTTTCTTGGGTGCTGAGGAACAATGTTGAGTCCTAGGAAGGAGGCCTCATCACAAAGGCTTGAATCCCAGAATATTGTTAAAAATAGCATTTTAATTACTAAAATAGATATTCAAGAGGCCCCGTCTTAATGTACCAAACACCAGGTCCCTGTATTAAACATTACGGTGATAAGTGACGCGAGTGCTGCCAGGTGGCAGAATTTATAGCTTTACCATTATGTACAATTAACCAGAACCAGGAATTAGCATTACACAAAGGGACATGTAAATTTTGCCTACGAGTAAAGACTTTCTCTTAGGCTCTTGTCACTTCTGTTAGAAAATCAGATCCTGTTAATGACTAGCTAAAAGACTGTTTGTCAGTTATCTCCTTTTTCTCCTCCACAGTGATGCAGGTAGCACCCTTCTCTAACAAGGCAGTGTCATGCTTATTGTTGAACACACAGATAATCTCATTGCTCTGGGACAGGTGGGGGAACATGGAAAAGCAAGGCATGTCCCCAACCCACCCCGGGATAAGGAAAATGGAAAGCCTGGGGACCTGATACTGCTGTCCTCATGCAGAAAGAACTGCTCTGGAGAGCTGCGTATGCAAAGACTTCAGGACTGGGCTCCTAGCTTGAAGCCGCAGATATGCTTGTTAGTAAATTGTGCAAACTGACAAATCAAGGCCCTGAGCATCTCAGCTTTGGTACAAGGAAAAGCGTTTCCCCCTGGGGGCTGTACTGCCCAAGTGTGATGCTAAGAACAGAAAGAATTCACTAATTCTGAATTGTACCCACATTATTCCCTAGCCTCTTACTCATTTCAACCAAAACCAGGCTTTACATCCCTTCAGGGTAGATCTTCTATTGCCCCTTCTTTTTTTGTTTGCATCATCCATCCCCTCCCTTTGCCATTTGTAGAGGCAGTTGATCTTATCTCTGGTCGCTGGTTCCTTGCATCACAGCAGTGGCTCAGAATAGGGGATGGCTAGATAGCTAGTTCTCAGATGCTATCTACCTGGACCATTCACTCTTTCATCCTGGAACTAGTATGTTTGTGCTGAACAAGGTAAGGTATTTTATCATGGTATTAACAGGAGCTGATTGAGCCAGAGAGCTAAGATTCCACTACACTCGTGTCTCCATAGAACCACTTTTCTAAGCCATCTGATGGGGACCATTTTTGGTTTAATATTTAACCTGTTTACTCCTACAGTCTCTTTCATGTTAAGCAGTTAAGACTGTCCTTTGATAAACAAAGTATTAGATCAATGGCCTAATGCAGTGCTGGGTTGTGGAAGAAATGGGGTCCTGTTTCTACAGACCAGCTGTATAAGTCATTAAAAACAACCCCTAGTGCAGGGAGCCTGGAATGGCTGTATAAAATGGGAACTGTATATTCCACCCACACTCGCCCTACTTCCCTGGCTGGCTTAGACTTGTGTGCTGTGGGCCCAGTTCTGTTGCATTAAGCCAGTGGGAGCAGGAGTTTTAGTGCTGTGATTCCAAGGATTAAGGCACAACCTAAAGAGGAGTGGACTGATCTATCAGATTCTGACCTGAAGAACAGGAACCAAATTGACTCCTCTCTTGCTCCAGCCCATGGTTCCCTTGTACTTCAGCATCTGCTTCTATTTCACCATAGTTCTTTAACCACCAACCTTTGAACACAGAACTAGAGTCTGGTTCCATGCTGTTCTTAGTATTGCACTGATCAATGGGAAGATCAGGAAAGAAGGATCCTGGCTGCCAACCCCAGGAGAGCCAATGACTGTCAGCTTCAGCCAAAGGCCTTCCCTCCAATTCCTGTCCAAGAAACACTTGCATCCATTACCCCTCTCCTGCCCCCCACTCCCCAAACTGGCAAATCCTGAAAGGCTGAAGCCCTTCCAGGATTAGCTAGTCTGTCTCCCAGTGATTAAGTACCTTGAACAAGGAGGGTTACACCAACAGGGAGAACTTGCTCTGCTATGAATGCCTATGGTGTTTTTTTTAATTCCCTGGGGCCAAACTTCAGTTTCATATATTAAAAAAAAGTCACAGGTCAAAGTTCTGCAGCCTGCAGAGCATGATGACACTGAACAGCTGGTAACAGGCTGTGTGTGCAGATGCATTAGCTGAAGCTGCCTCTGAGCTCATTGTCTTTGATCAGGCTACTCAGCTGGAGTGGAGGTCCTTTGACTCTCAGGAGGCAGCTTCTGCATCTATTTAGGAAATCACATTACTCATAAACTGTACTGGAGCAGCTCCCACTTCATGAGAACCTAGCAGACAGCAGTCAGAAACTGCCTTTGGGAAACTGATTCCATGACTTTGGTCCATGTTTTGCTGCAGGATTGACTCCAGCTGTGCAGTGCATATTGAGATTTGAACTTTGTTTGCTTCCTTCTGGAAAGGTCAGTGTCCACAGGGGTGCAGTTCAATGGGTGAGTCCCAAAGACTGCAGCAGATGAAATGTAGCACCCAGGGCCCAGCTTGTCTCTACGTTGTTCACTTTCTTTGTTAACTATGAAGAAAGAGAAAGCAGTCAGTTCCAGCACATCTCCCAGACCTATACTGTTGCCACAAACTTAAAACAACTGCAGTTACTGCTTTGCAAATGGAAGCATGAAGGGTACTGGCTGGAAGCACTAGTTCCAACTGCACATGGCCAAGAGTATTAGGGAATCAGGCAGCTTTAAAAAAGAACAAGGAGTAACACTTCTGTCTCTCCTTTTAAGACCAGTTACCTTGCAGCTACTTTGTGTGTGGGTGGGGTGTTGCTTGTCTGGGCTGGACTTCTCCTTTATTGGCTAGTGTACTCATGTGTGGAAAAACCAGGACTACTGTTCCTTTCAGCTTGTCATTTTCTCCACCGAATGCCACTTTTCACCACCCACCTCCTCTTTGCCTGTTGCCTTTCAGGTCCTGCTTGTCACTGACAATTTGACAGGAATGAAAAATTAAGAATCAGATTATGGGAGAAAAAAGAAGGCAAATACAGCAAGGGGATGAATGTGTCCACCTTGCCCTTCATGGTAGGAAATCCTCCCTAACTCTAGGGTGTCTTTACATGGACTAGCCTAAAAACTTTCCTTGCTAGCATCTTCTTAGATGTTCTCTACCTGAGATCTGTCCAGTTGCACAAGAAGTGCTATGCACTGTCAATATCGGACCATAAGAACTTTTCTCAACAAATACACAAAAGATGGGATAAAATCTAAATGTTTATATTTTCTTCATTCCTGTTGTGTGACTGGTTAGAAGAATGATCCCTGTGTTGGCCTTCCTGAGGAGCTGCATTAACCCTGAGAACATTTAGGATCAAGCTGTTCTCCACAAAGGAACCCCACAGCACAGTGGGGGGGGGGGGGGGGGGGGGGG